CGAACTCATCTTCACCACAGCCGATGAAAGTGCATTTCTTTGACTTGGGATCAAGCTTATTCCTGCATTGATAATTAATATGCACATAAGCTATACAACCGAAAACTTTAAGATATGAGAGATTTACCTCCTTTTCGCACCATGCCTCTTCTGGTATTCTGTGCTCCAATGGAACCGATGGACCTCGGTTGATCAAGTAAGCTGCTGTGTTGACTGCTTCTGCCTAGAACTGCTTCGGTAGGCCTGACTATATCTGAATACTTCTGGCTCTCTCTGTCAACATTTTGTTCATCAGCTCAGCTACAATATTTTGCTGAGGCGTGCCGGGCACGGTTCTCTCCATTCTGATCCCGTGCTCATAGCAATTTTTTTTGAATTTGGTGTCTTCATACTCACCATCATTGTCGGTCCTAAGGTTCTTTATTCTCAGACATGTCTCATTCTCGACCATAGCTTTCCATCTCTTGAAAGCTCCAAACACTTCTGACTTATGCTTCAGAAAGTAGACCCACACTTTCCGAGAGTGATCATCAATAAAAGTCACAAAGTAGTGTTTTCCAACAATAGATGTGGTGGTGGTTGGTCCCCAAACATCTGAGTTGGTCCCCAAACATCTGAGTGAAAGAGCTCTAGTTTCTTCTTCCTGGGGGTTCTGCCACTTGTCTGAAAGTTGACTCTCTTCTGCTTTCTAAGTATGCATTCTTCACACATGTCCATCTCCACTGATTGTAGTCCTCGGAGTTTGCCCTTTGTGTGCATGATTTTCATCCCCTTGTTACTCATATGACCGAGTCTCTAGTGCAATAGTTTTGAAGTCTCATTGCCTGCTGCAACTGAGATCAGACAACGTGCATCTGTTGTCATATACATGGTACCAGTCTTCTTACCTCGGGCAATCATCATTGCACCCTTTGAGATCTTCCAATCTTCTCCATGGAAGGTCGTGGTGTATCCTTCGCCAGCCAACTGGCCTATGGATATTAAGTTTTTTTCAGATCGGGAATATGCCTGACATCCTTCAGCTCCCATACTGACCAGTTCAACTTAATTTTCACCACACCTTCGCCCACGATAGCACATGATTAATCATCACCAAGGTATACGTATCCAAGATTTTCGGGAACATACTTCCCGAAGAATTCATTCTAAGAAGTAGCATGGAACGATACTCCTGAATCTAACACCTAAGATTCCTCCTTACTTTCCAAAGAGCATATCAAAGCGTCATCTCCTCCTGAGGTAGAAGTGACATTTACCTCTGCCTTCGGCTCCTTCTCTTTTTGTGCGCTCTTGCACTGATTCTTATAATGCTCGGTTTTTCCACAATTCCAACACTCGATAGCCTTCGAGCTATTACTTGGATTCCTGATTTGGACCTCCTGTCCTTTGATCTACCTCTGTAGTTTGATTTTCCTCGTCCATTCTCTCTGGTTGAATTTTTACCTCTTGACTCTGTATGCAATACTGAAGAGGTTGTAGCTTCACCCGACTCTCTCCGTCGGATCTCCTCACTGAGAACCAGATCACGAACGTCGTCGAACTTCAACTTGTTGCTTCTCGACGAGCTACTCACAGCTGTGACTATAGCGTTCCAACTATCTAGTAGGGAAGACAAAAGTATCAATGCTCGAACTTCCTCATCAAACTAAATTTCAACTGAACTCAATTGGGTTGTGACCGTGTTGAGTTCATTGAGGTGTTGTGCTACTGACGTGCCTTCCGCCATTCTTAGTTTGAATAACCACCACATCAAATAAACTTTATTTGCGGCTGATGGCTTCTCATACATATTTGAGAGTGCTTCCATAAGACCAACCGTGGTCTTCTCCTTCGTAATATTAATGCAACATTACGAGTCAACATCAATCTAATAACTCTGAGGGCTTGTCTGTCTAGAAGGATCCACTCATCCTCCTTTATCGACTCCAGCTTCTTCCTGTATAGTGGTTGATACAGATTTTTCTGATACAGATAATCCTCTATCTGTATTTTCCAGAATCCAAAATTTGTTCCATTAAACTTCTCAAGTCTTATTTTCCCTTCATCTACGACCATGACTCCCACTTGAATCTAATTTCCTCTAGATCGTTTCATGCTCTGATACCAGTTGTTGGGAATTTACGCCGAAACCCCTAAAATAATAGAAACGCAGAATAGAAAAAATATACCAAGATTTAACGAGGTTTGGCAACTGCCTACGTTCTCGGGAACCACACAGTAAATTTCTTATTAATCTAACAAGAAATTACAAATTTAGAGCAGATCTCAAACTGAGATCTATCAATAAATGTTATTTGTTACTATAGCTACAGTAACAAGTTCCCTCTTAAATACCCCCTCTTAATTCTCTCTTCTATTTAGTTTTCTCTTTCAATCCCTTCCCAATCACGTGAGAACATGAGAAGAGAGAGAGAGAGAGAGAGAGAGAGAGAGAGAGAGAGAGAGAGAGAGAGAGTGAGTCGCCTCCGAGAATCGCAAGGGGAGAGAAGGGGAAAAAGTCATAGGCTCGAGCTCTAGGGGTTTCCCTTTTATAGGGAAACCCTAGCGACAGCTTGTCGCCAGGCTGTCGCTGGGGCTCGCCTGTTCGAAATCGCCAGCTCGAGTTCGTCTAACTTCGCTTGCAGCTCGTGGACCTCGCCTGCTCACGAACTCTCCTGCTAGGAGTCACCTGCACGAGTTCGCCTGACTGATCCTCCCGTGCTTGAGCTTGCCAAATACAACTCGAACTCGTATGCGCTGCATCCTCGAGCTCGCTTGCGAACCGCCATCGCCTGCTCGTCACAACCCTGTCACCCACGCTCGCATGCGTGGATCTGAAACTCGCCGACAGAAGCTAGCCCTCGCCTGAGATTCGTCCTCGCCTGGAGAAGCTCCCCTACAGGTGAGTTTGGGCTTCACCCCCAATTTCAACACTTGGTTCTATAAAAACTCTCAGAAATTAATTTTATTCAAGTAAAGGGTACGGATTTTTCAGCTTTGGACTGAATATTAAATCTCATTTTGTAAATTTCAATTCAAGACTTATCTATTAGTTGGAGGATTACACCAAAATACGTTTCCTCTTAGAAAAGTGGGAGGGGGAAAGCACTATTTTGCGTCTATTTTGCTGGAAAAAACACTATTTTGCCTTGTATATGTCAATTTCATTTTGTTGGTTTTTAAATAAATCTTATGTCTTGTCTTGCAATGGAATTCATATAACTATTTAACTTCATGGTCATGTTTAAAGATTCTTTGTCAATCATTTGCAAAAGTATGGCTCTTTTTCTTTAATCCAGCAAATAAATATTGCTCTTGTGTCAGTGCTTCTTTGAGTTCTTTCCTTGCTTGAATCTAAAATTTGGAGATTTTGTACTTTGATAATGATATTGGCTTCATGACCAGAACTTTGACCTCAAAGCTTATTGAATATTAGCAAACAATGTGTTCAATCCTCTTATTTAATCCTCAATATTTCAACTAATATTTAGCAGCAGGCTTACAGCTTGAGGAAAGGAAAAGGAAATCCTTATGACTTTGTGTAGAATGTTTGGAAATTTCTATACTATTTAAGTAAATAGTTATTGTAGTAATATGTCCATGTGAGCAACACTGACGAGGAGGAAAAAAATCTGTTTATCTTTCCCCATTGTGAATATGATTCCTTAGATAGTTCTTAAAATAGGTTCTTAAAAGAGGCTATGAAAAGGGATTTAAAATTATGGTTTCATCTGATTATATGTTCTTAGTTATTCATCTTTCAATGAATGTATGTGTGCATGGTGTGTTGTTGTTGATGATGATGATGTTTTTAAATGAGGATTGATAGAAATAAATTGGGGGTTTATAAAGAAATTGGGATATATCTGTTTACTTGCCCAGTTGTGCTTATCGTGCATTTGAAGTGGCACTGATGTGCATTGATTCTTGTTATCTCAGTGATTTTTATGTGATTCTTGTTCATCTTGGATATTCCATGTTTGCTTTAATTTTTTCCATTTGAATTTGTATTTTTGCATATGTAAATTCTGTTGGTTCTTGATTGCATTTCACAATTAGTCTTTTGTTTGAATATTTATGCTTGTATCTTTAGAAACTAGAGAGGTGCAAAATGGATGGAGGAAGGATCTTCGCAGAAGTTTGAGAAAAATGTGCAGGAGAATTAGAATGTACCGCATGTATGAAACCATGTATAGTCTGTGCATGTTGATACAACACAGACTTAAATGGTCATTGGTTCATATTCATCTGTTGGTTGGATTTATTTATTTTACTAGTGTCAACTTTGAATCTAGACTTAAATGGTACATTTACAGTTTGGTTCAAAATGGTGCTCACCAATACTTTCAGTCTAGAATTGAGTTCGGCTTCTAATATGATAATATAAATGTAGGAAAATTGTGGGGACTTAAAATTTTGTTGTTAAGTTATAATTACATTTGAATTTTGTAGGAAAATATTTCAGGTGACCTGATCTTCCGCTTAATTATGTTGAACTAATCATCATTGTGTTAAACATAGCAAACTTTCCGCATAATGTTCTTTCTGAATTTTTGGTTATTGTGGTGTTCGATTTAAAAGATGGCTATTTTAATTAGCAAGTATATAGATTTGGGTTGTAAATTTGCAAATATGTTGGTTTTGGGGTATCTATGTAAAAATCCTATATCCATATCAGTATATCACTTTAATAGGGATGAACCAAAGTTCTCTGGGTGTTGATGTTAATGTGGGTAAGTCTTGAAGGATGGCTATTTTAATTGTGGGCTTGGTGTTTTTTGTTTTATTATAAGAAGTATTATATGTCAAAACATAATTTTATGTAAATGAGATGGCTGATGGAATTGCTTTTTTGGTGTCCATTGTACAGCTTATGATGAGGGTGCCGATGATTTGAATAGAGGATCTTCTCATCAACCTTTGACTCAGGTGAATCTCTCTTTTTCAGCATTCAATGTCATGCTTGCTTTCTAGCTATCTTGTCAAAGTTATTTCATGGACGTCAAAGTTATTTCATGGACATCTTGAAGGATGGCTATTTCATGGATGTTCTGTTGGCCTCAGTGTAATTTGTTTTTGAATAGATAGTATATATTTTTTCCCCTTTTCTTACATTCGATCATCATTTTGATAAACTTCATGCTGTGTGTAAATCATTAGCTGTGATTCATCTTTTGTAAGGTACTGGAAACATGTTACTGTTAAATTGTTGAAAATGGTAGATGGCTTCTCATACATATTTGAGAGTGCTTCCATAAGACCAACCGTGGTCTTCTCCTTCGTAATATTAATGCAACATTACGAGTCAACATCAATCTAATAACTCTGAGGGCTTGTCTGTCTAGAAGGATCCACTCATCCTCCTTTATCGACTCCAGCTTCTTCCTGTATAGTGGTTGATACAGATTTTTCTGATACAGATAATCCTCTATCTGTATTTTCCAGAATCCAAAATTTGTTCCATTAAACTTCTCAAGTCTTATTTTCCCTTCATCTACGACCATGACTCCCACTTGAATCTAATTTCCTCTAGATCGTTTCATGCTCTGATACCAGTTGTTGGGAATTTACGCCGAAACCCCTAAAATAATAGAAACGCAGAATAGAAAAAATATACCAAGATTTAACGAGGTTTGGCAACTGCCTACGTTCTCGGGAACCACACAGTAAATTTCTTATTAATCTAACAAGAAATTACAAATTTAGAGCAGATCTCAAACTGAGATCTATCAATAAATGTTATTTGTTACTATAGCTACAGTAACAAGTTCCCTCTTAAATACCCCCTCTTAATTCTCTCTTCTATTTAGTTTTCTCTTTCAATCCCTTCCCAATCACGTGAGAACATGAGAAGAGAGAGAGAGAGAGAGAGAGAGAGAGAGAGAGAGAGAGAGAGAGAGAGAGGGTGAGTCGCCTCCGAGAATCGCAAGGGGAGAGAAGGGGAAAAAGTCATAGGCTCGAGCTCTAGGGGTTTCCCTTTTATAGGGAAACCCTAGCGACAGCTTGTCGCCAGGCTGTCGCTGGGGCTCGCCTGTTCGAAATCGCCAGCTCGAGTTCGTCTAACTTCGCTTGCAGCTCGTGGACCTCGGGCTCGCCTGTTCGAAATCGCCAGCTCGAGTTCGTCTAACTTCGCTTGCAGCTCGTGGACCTCGCCTGCTCACGAACTCTCCTGCTAGGAGTCACCTGCACGAGTTCGCCTGACTGATCCTCCCGTGCTTGAGCTTGCCAAATACAACTCGAACTCGTATGCGCTGCATCCTCGAGCTCGCTTGCGAACCGCCATCGCCTGCTCGTCACAACCCTGTCACCCACGCTCGCATGCGTGGATCTGAAACTCGCCGACAGAAGCTAGCCCTCGCCTGAGATTCGTCCTCGCCTGGAGAAGCTCCCCTACAGGTGAGTTTGGGCTTCACCCCCAATTTCAACACTTGGTTCTATAAAAACTCTCAGAAATTAATTTTATTCAAGTAAAGGGTACGGATTTTTCAGCTTTGGACTGAATATTAAATCTCATTTTGTAAATTTCAATTCAAGACTTATCTATTAGTTGGAGGATTACACCAAAATACGTTTCCTCTTAGAAAAGTGGGAGGGGGAAAGCACTATTTTGCGTCTATTTTGCTGGAAAAAACACTATTTTGCCTTGTATATGTCAATTTCATTTTGTTGGTTTTTAAATAAATCTTATGTCTTGTCTTGCAATGGAATTCATATAACCATTTAACTTCATGGTCATGTTTAAAGATTCTTTGTCAATCATTTGCAAAAGTATGGCTCTTTTTCTTTAATCCAGCAAATAAATATTGCTCTTGTGTCGGTCCTTCTTTCCTTGCTTGAATCGAAAATTTAGAGATTTTGTACTTTGATAATGATATTGGCTTCACGACCAGAACTTTGACCTAAAAGCTTATTGAATATTAGCAAACAATGTGCTCAATCCTCTTATTTAATCCTCAATATTTCAACTAATATTTAGCAACATGCTTACAGCTTGAGGAAAGGAAAAGAAAATCCTGATGACTTTGTGTAGAATGTTTGGAAATTTCTCTACTATTTAAGTAAATAGTTATTGTAGTAATATGTCCTCCTCATTGTGAATATAATTCCTTAGATAGTTCTTAAAAGAGGTTCTTGATACTCCTAATATCTATTTCTCTTTTCAAAATATATTTTTTGCTACAATTCCCATTTGAAAAAGGAGATATTGCATTACCCCTTCACTTTTATCTTCTTATTGTGTTATGCGTCCCCTACAATAGTTATGAGTTACTGTATTAAAATCATAGTATAGCTTTTATGAAATGTGCTTCTCTGCCTAAATCTGGTATGACTGTTAAGTCAATGGTAGGCGATATTGCACTCAATGCACTTGGCTTGTTTTCCACATAGGTTGTGAACTGCGAGGTTAACTGTTTCTGATAATTGAATTTGTAGGCTCTTTCGCTCGCATACATGCCAGTTGGTGCAATCCTTGCTAGCACTGAGATTTCAGAAGTGATACACACTCAAAGCAACAAACTTGGTAACATTCTTCCTTTTCAGTTGTGTATTCATTTTATTTTATGAGTCGTATTTTGTTGATGTGAACCATGGATTCAATGTTGATTTTGTTTGGAAGAGTACCAGCTTTGATCGGGTGCAAGGAGCAAAGAAAAATTTTGTTGTAGATGAAACCAGTGTCAGCGGGTGAGCTTCATTCTATCCTCATGAGTGAGATTCAGATAATGTTTCAATGTGTTGCAGGAAGATGGTGCAAATGTTACAATAAATTGTGTTCATCCAGGGCCAATCATGACCAATTTAATGAGACATTCTTTCGTCCTAATGAGTATGTGTTTTTGTAATTAAATCTTCATCGAATAAGTTATCTATTTAAGCTCAAAACATACATTTTTCCTCCTCTGTTTTTGGCAGAGTTCCTACAAGTTTTCACTATCTCTTCTGGAAGAATGTACCGCATGTATGAAACCATGTATAGTCCGTGCATGTTGATACAACACAGACTGTAATGGTCATTGGTTCATATTCATCTGTTGGTTAGATTTATTTATTTTACTAGTGTCAACTTTGAATCTAGACTTAAATGGTGCATTTAAAGTTTGTTTCATAGTGTGAATATCAATGTATCATAATGTCTAAGGCATGTATGAACACATTAACTTGGATCTATTCCTATATTATTTGCAGTGGTTCAAAGTTCTATATGCACTAAATGTCTTAACTGATATTTATCGTTTATGCTTATTAAAATTAATTTTATATTTATGATGATTTATCGTAGAAAACAAAATTTCGCCCCCTCAGATCGATTTCAATGTGCGTGTCACTGTCACCTTTGCCAGTTAATGGACTCGGTCTTTTAATAAGATACATATTTTCTTTTCTTTTTTTTGTGCCAGCTAGCAGACTTGCATGGGAGATCAACCATTCTATTCATTATGGATTTTGATTCTCTCAAGCCACAAGGAAAAAAAGAAAAGAAAAAAGAAAAAGGTGAACTACTGCTTACTTCACAACCGTCTAATATTGTTGAACCCAAAAGTAATTTTTGTTCATGTCGAGCCTTGCAAGCTGTTATATATATATACGCGAGGAAGCGACTAGTTAGTCTCGTCTCAGCAACCCAAATGTAATTTTTTTTACAGAGAGGGAGACATCTTGATTGTTTATTCTTGTAATTTAATGATGATCTCAGGGGTGGAGCAATATTTGGAGCAAGAGTGTGAGAAGGTGTGAGAAGCGGGGAATGATTGTAAACAATTTATTTATCTTTCTAGTTTTTTGGTGAATGTATTTTTTGAATATAATTGAATTTGATATTGGAATATAATTACATTGTGTTGGATATGAATATGATTTGGTGGTGTGCAATATTGTGCATATGTACATGTGATATTAGATGTCATGCAAAGTAGATTCTAAAAAAATAATATTGAAGCATCCTAGACGGAAAATTCCGTCTAGGATGCATCCTAGACGGTTTTAGATTCCGTCTAGAATATTCCGTCTAAGAAATATCCTAGACGAAAAATACCGTCTAGAATACTACATTCTAGACGACAACATACTAGACGCACATCCTAAACAGAATTCCGTCTGGGATAGTTTTCCTAGACGGAAATATGAGTATCATAGACGGAATTTTCCGTCTAGAATGCATCATTTTGTACCAGTGGAAGTATAATCTCCACGGACTCGCCCGAGAAAATTCCATATGCTAAGCATATACACATAACTGTAGGCTTCTTCATAACCCCAAGATTGGCTCATCGGCCAACTTATCAATGACCGTCTCACCTGCACCTGACCCTAACATAAAAAAAAGAAAAAATGTTGGCACATGTGGTTAAATCTGGAATAATACAGATATAAAGTAACAAATAATTGAAGAAAGTTGAAGTGTAGTAATTTTAAAATTTTCTAACTCAACTACTATGCATTTGTAAAACGTTGGGCTTATAGCAATATTTAGCCTACTCCGTTGTGCAAGGATCTCAAGGTCAAATTGCTTTCAGGAACAGCAGTACAGTACTCTGGTGTGCACCAACCCAGTACTATTAAGATCTCCTTGATCTATAGGACCTCTCGGTCATGGCAACGATCTCCTCGATCTATAAGACCTTCTCAGTCCAGGCAATGTTCCTACGAGCACTAGCTATTTTACAACATATATCTGTATATATTAATTGTTGTTTTTGGAATAAATTTTCATTAAGGATTTGAGGTCTATTTATAACGTTTGGGAAAACACTATGTACTAATAAAATAATATTATTTTACTATATATGTGGGACCCACGTCCAAATTTTTCTTCGGTGGGGCCCACCACTTTTTCATTTTCAACATTTACCTAACTTTAGGCAGCAACCCATGTGATGTTTTGATTAAAAAATTAATATCCAACAATCCCTCACAAATTTTTTAAACTAGTATCGTGTAACGGTGTCGTTGTTTTAATCGTTGTACATAAGGTAGATGTCGCAAGGACTTGAATCTCCCTTAGACCAACTGATAATCACATTTTATTACAATTTTATACCCTCATTATCTATTTTATATGAATAAATATACCACTAATAATTGTTTTTATCTTTTAATTGCAGGTTAATGAAGAATAAATCTCAACTTCCCATCTCTCAACAAAAACCCATTGATTAAATGAAGAAATGAATCAAGAAGCCAATTGGAAAATCAATTTCCAATCTATCCAAAAGCCCAAGCTAAGATGAAGGATTAAAAGAAATATCAAAGCCCAAAAGCCCAAGCAAAAGCCCAAGATCCAAGCCCAAGAACCAATGAAAGAGGAGTTCTGCGGACAGCAGCTAGAAGCAGGCAGGCATCGATGCCAGCATCGATGGGGGCATCGATGCCCGCATCGAATTTTGTTTGATTCGCCTTTAGGCTAGAACCCTCTAGGGAATCACCCTTTTCTAAGAAGTGGGTTCAATTGTAGATTACCCATATCTATAATTGAATCCACCATCTTTAATTTCTTGCATTTTCTTTTATTCTTGAATTTTATTTTCTTTATTCTTGATTTTTATTTTCCTTTTCCTTCTTGCCTTATTGATCATATTCATTCTTTGTCACATCCACTCTCACTTATATCTCGTGCCGATTTACACACTATCACTTCCACTCTCTCTATCTCTCCACAATCACATTCACTTATCACTCCTACTTGTCACGCACACAACATAAGAACCGATTTTATATTTTCTCCTACAAAACACCTTCCTCGTGGGATCGATATCTTAAATACTATAACTTGACACGGTTGTGCACTTGCAACCTTTTTGGTACATGTTTATGCCGCATCAAGTTTTTGGCGCCGTTGCCGGGGAAGGTGCTTAAGTAGGTTTTAATTATTTTGGTTCTTTAACTTGTGTGTTTTTTGTGAAGGAAACGCTTGGAGCTTGAAGATCGCGGATTGGAGAGCTAGGATTTGAAGATTTGCTTTCAGGTAAGTCCTCTTTCTAGTTTTTAATTCCACCCTTTAGCTACTTCTTCACAATTAGAGACAATTAGGACTTAAAAAAGAAGAAGAGATTTTATTTTTTGTTGACCATAATAAAATTCATCCTCCACTTTGACATTTACTAACAAGATAATAAATTCAAACAAATCCCCCCTTCTCATTTGTTTGATTGTTAACCCTAATTAAAAAAAAAGATTTTTCTTTTCCATCCTTTTTAGTTGCTTTTAATTCATAGGGTTGCATTTCATATAGTGTAGGAATTCACCAAGTGATTTGAGCATCTTGATTTGACACACACTTAAAAATATTTTTAAGGGCAAAACCCCATAATCAAGATAAGGTGAGGGATTTCATCACCCTTTCCTTAGCCCAAAAATCACTAATTCCTCACTACACCACCCAAGCCTAATAAAACTCATTAGACGTTGGCCCCTAAGGATTCGAGCTCAATAAGGAACAAGAAATCCTTAAGTGAACCGGTTTAAGTTTTCTCAGATTAGTTGGTGTCTAAGGCAAGGTTTAGGGGTTGCGTAAAGCGCTCCGCAAGGAAAGAGGTACTTAATTGATCTTTGATCACCCTCTAGTACTATCCTTACCTGGCTAACTACCTGGGTAAAACTTTGATCTTTTCACTGTAGGAGTTTTTGGTTAGGAGCTGGTCTAGTTGAGTTAGGCTAAACCCTAGAATTAGAGTTGATTGAAAAGTGATTGTTTTGATTTGTTTCAGTTAGGATTTTTCTTTTTCTTTATCTTCTAAAAAAAAACTAATTTTCTTTCTTTTTTTGAAAAAAAATAAAAAATAAAAAAAATAATAAAAAGAAATATTTTGGTGTATGCAACAGTGGATTAGGGATAATACACATCGATTAATTCGCTTTGAACCAATCATAGAAATGGAGCATCCTAATCCACCCGTTCTTCATGATATGTGCTATCCCATTAGGAATGCAATCCCCTCATGCATTAGGCTCCCCGAAACAAATGGAATAAGTTTTGAGCTTAGACCGCAATACATAAACATGCTTCCCAAATTCCTTGGTAATGAAACAGAAGACGCATATATTTTTATTTCGGAATTTGAGGAAGTGTGTATTATGATTAAAATGAGAGAATTAAATGAAGATGCGGTTAAGCTTAGATTTATTCCATTTGCTCTTAAGGATAAAGCTAAAAAATGGCTGTACAGCTTACCAACAAATTCCATCTCAACTTGGGATGAATTTGTCACCGTTTTTCTTAAGAAATTTTTTCCTATTCATAAAACGGTAAAGCTTAGGAACAGCATTCAAAACTTTAAAATTATCCCGGGAGAACCTTTTTGGAAGTATTTTGACCGATTTAAAGATCTTCTCATCCAATGTCCTCATCACGGTTTAGAGAAATGGCGATTGTGCCAAATAATTTATGAGGGATTAGATTATTCTGCAAAAACTTCCTTAGAATCAATGTGCCACGGGGATTTTATGAGGAAAAATGCTGATGAAGCTTGGGAGTTTTTGGAGAGTCTTTCTGAAAAAACAATGCAATGGGAACAGTGCGATGACAGGGTTTCATCAGTTCCCCATTCTAAGTCTAGTGGTCTTTCCTTGGAGTCAAACATTGCTTCTGAAGCGAAGATGGCGACAATTCTGCGGAGGTTAGAAGCCTTAGAAATTAAGGAACGAGCTCCAGCTCAACTCAATCATGTTTCTTTCCCAGGATGTCATAATTGTCAGTCTCCTACCCACGTTTCAGAGGAATGCCCTCTCTTAGGAAACAATCATTCATTAGAACAGATGAACGCTGCATTCCAGCACCCTAGAAATGATCCATTTTCTCCAACCTACAATCCAGGTTGGAGAAATCATCCCAACTTTGCATGGAATCTAGGAAATTCTCCCGGAACTCAAAATTTCACTCCCGCTTCGACCCAACATTTTCCTAGGGGAAACACAGTTCCATTCAATTCTCATTCACAATTTCAACAACCCAATCTGCCGTATCAAAATCAGTCTCCTCCTCATCAAGCTGTAATTCAAACTCCTCACAATCCAGATCAAGATAAACGTCTCAATGTCTTGGAAAGGGGTTTAGAAACCATAATTAAGGCCTCTACTCAAACCACGAATATGTTGACTCAAACATCTAGCACGTTGAATTCCTTCATGCAATCAACCGGACAAATGCTCAACTCCAACACTCAAGCTATAGCTAGATTAGAATCCCAACTTGGTCAACTAGCTAGTGCCGTGAGTGAAAGAGAGAAAGGAAAATTTCCGAGTCAACCCGTGGTCAACCCTAATAACACAGGATGCAGTTCATCCTATGAAGCTCAAGTGAATGCAATCCATTCACTTCGGTCAGGTAGACAGGTCGATAATCAAGTGAGAACTCCTCCAAGTCAAACTCTTGATCCTGTACAAATTCCTTCTCCTTCTCCTTCTGATGAATCTATTCAACAATCACCCTCCTCAGATGACCAAGAACCTGAACCGGAACCTGAGCCTACTTTTGATAGGTTTAGACCAGTTGCTCCTTTTCCAGATAGACTCAGGCTTAGGAAACACTCCCCTCAAGAGGAGAAGATCCTAGAAACATTCACGTAGGTTAAGGTCAATATTCCTCTCTTAGATGTAATTGAACAAATTCCATCTTATGCTAAATTTTTAAAAGAATTGTGCACTAAGAAGAGGCGAATAAATGTTCCAAAGAAAGTCTTTTTAGCCGCCAATATCAGTGAAATGCTGTCAAATCCCATACCTTTGAAACGTAAAGATCCAGGTTCCCCCATCATTTCATGTATCATTGGTAATACTCATATTGATAAGGCGCTTTTAGACTTAGGGGCCAGTGTCAATTTGCTTCCATATTCAGTCTATCAGCAATTGGGTCTAGGTGTACTGAACCCAACCAAATGCACCTTACAGTTGGCTGATAGATCTGTCAAGGTCCCTATGGGTGAGTTAGAGGATGTTCTGATTAAGGTTGGAGATTTTATTTTTCCAGTAGATTTTGTAGTCTTGGAAACACAGCCTGTTTCCAATCCCAAAGGACAGACACCTGTCATTTGTAGTTTTGGAAACACAGCCTGTTTCCAATCCCAAAGGACATACACCTGTCATCTTAGGAAGACCGTTCTTAGCCACTTCTAATGCTCTCATCAACTGTAGAACTGGTCAAATGAAGCTGTCCTTTGGGAATTTGACTGCTGATCTCAACATTTTTAATCCAGGGGACCAACCAAATAATCAGCCTCTAGAAATAAACTACATTCAGGAAAGATCAGAAGAAGAAGAAGAAGAAGAGTCTGATTTGAGTTTTGAGGAAATTTTTGATGAAGAGTTAGAGTTTTTAGAAGAAGCAGATCAGGTCCTTGAGAATAATAAAACTGTGTTAAACCTTTGCTGCTTTGAATTAAATTTTGAAGAACTTTTTCTTGATGAACTTAGATTCTTGGAGAATAATCAACAACCAAATTTTCAGAACTTCACAGAAGAATTGGTTGTTGGAAAACAAAACTTCACAGTACAAGAACCTAAGTTCATTAAGAAATACAAAATGCATGACACCAATAATACCTACCTTACATTATTGCATGAATTACTGAACACCCCGAAATGCTTGGAAATTCACATTATTGATTATATCATTCTGAATTTGTTTAAAATCCGGGGAAGAATTTTCAACAGTAAGGTAGGATTCAATGTAGAACAAGAACTCTTCATGTTGAATATTTTATTCTACATTGCTTATTTTGTTAACTTCAAAATAATAAAAAGAATTTATTCTTCTCTCATTTGAGAGTTTCTTGTTCAGTTCTTAAAAAAAAAGAAAAAAAAAGAAGAAAAAAAAGAGTAAAAAAAAGAAAAAAAAAGAATAAATTTTTGATTTCATCCTCCTCAGACCAAAGGTAATTGCAGATTTTTATCAGCCGACCAAATGTAAGTGCTTCACTTCTTATCTGCTTTACTTTATGCATCATCGAGTTTGCATTGAGGACAATAAAAAATTTAGGTGTGGGGGTGGGAATTAGTTATTTTTTTTCTCTTTATTTTACATTTTTAGTTACATTTTCCCTTTTTTTCTTTAAAAAAAATTATAAAAAAATATCGTCACTTGCCAAATTGATAGAGTTATGTAATAATTGATTTATTTGATAAATTTGAAATTTTCTAATCCCTAGTTAGTTATTTACTTAAGTTCACCTTTTATGATAACTCTAAATAAATTTCTTAAGAAATGATTTTCAAAGTAGTATACTTTACTTAAGCCTTAACTTGGACTTTTATTTAAAATAATGAAATTTTTGCATGCTTAACTTAGAGTTGAAAATAATTTTTCAAAGTGTCTTGATTTACATATTTTCAAAATATAAATACAAAAAAAAGAAAAAAAAAAGCAAAAGAAGAGTGCGAAAAATGGGCACCAAAAACGAAAAAAAAGAAAAAAAACTCTTGAATTCAAGGTGATTCTATCTTATAAAGCCTAAGCTGACCGAGTAATTAAGCCCAAGGAGTATTTCCATACTTAATGACCTAAGCCCATTTGGGTTGGGATCCATTGGCCCAAAACTCGTTAAATGGTCACTTAGAAAGCCCGTTAAAGTAGAAAAAAATCACCAAGGAAGAAAGAGTTAAAAAAAAACTAATAAATGTTTTATAATTGTATATATGGTCTTGGAAAATATTTTAAATCAAGCAACTTGAAAATTATTTAAAACAAAGAGTTAGCATGTTCTTTTCAAAACTTTTAAATTAAATTTCTAAGTTTGGCTTGGTTTTGTATTGCTACAATGAGAAGATTTTCTTAAAAATATACCTTAGAGTTATATATAAAAATGTTTTCTTGAGTGATAACTGGCTCCAATTAGATTATCTAAAAGTTATCAAGTGAATTTAGTTATTTACTGACTTCTTTAATTTGGCAAGTTGACCGAATTTTGTGGGTATATTCACTGCAAACCCTCACGAGACTACAACTCGTCCACTAGGGTAACCTAGGGGTTTAAAGGCTTGTTGTATGCGCTAAATACAACCGCGATTCCTGCGAAAGTGAGTTAGGATTTTCTTTTTATTTTCTTTGCTAGAGGACTAGCAAAAGTTTAGGTGTGGGGGTATTTGATAATCACATTTTATTACAATTTTATACCCTCATTATCTATTTTATATGAATAAATATACCACTAATAATTATTTTTATCTTTTAATTGCAGGTTAATGAAGAATAAATCTCAAACTCTCATCTCTCAACAAAAACCCATTGATTAAATAAAGAAATGAAGCAAAGAAGCACATTGGAAAATCAATTTCCAAATTATCCAAAAGCCCAGAATGAAGTCGTGTAGCCTGTAGAAGCCGGAGAAAATCAAAAATCCAATATGAAAAGAAATCATATTCAAAATGGTTGGCCACAAAGAAACGACCTCTCATTCACTGATGTTTACTATAAATAGGGATAGAGAGTGAGGGGTTAGAGGTGTGAAAATTTTGTAAACTCCTTTTGGAGAGGAGGGCTACTCTTAATTGAGAAGGCCTTCCAAAATTGTAACTTTAGTTGCAATTAATAATAATAATTTTTTCACCACTTTAAATATTTCTTCTCTTTGTTGGATGATGAAGATGGAGATGAAGAATTATTTAGAGGTTTGCATTTTCTTTCCTTTTTCTCTTTTATTTCCTTTTTATTGCTTATTAGTGTAGATTTATTTCTATGCTTGTAGTTTAGATTTTATTTTCTTGTTAAATAGCCAAGAGGCTAGAACCCTCTTGCCTTAGATTTATTTCATGCTTATAGAATAGATTTATTTTCTTGCATTTAATTCTTGTAATTTTATTTTAGATTTTAATTTCTTATACTATTCACCTTGAGGCTAGAACCCTCTTGGGTTTAGTTTTTCTTTTTGTTTATTTTTATTTTGTTTGATTCGCCTTTAGGCTAGAACCCTCTAGGGAATCACCATTTTCTAAGAAGTGGGTTCAATTTTAGATTATCCATATCTATAATTGAATCCACCATCTTTAATTTCTTGCATTTTCTTTTATTTTTGAATTTTGTTCTTCATTCTTAATTTTTCATTTGTTTCTTGATTTTATTCATTTTTTCCTTCTCACCTTATTGATCATACTCATTTTTTTTTTAAAATCCACTCTCACTTACACTTTGCACATATTCACACATCATTTTCACTCTCTTAATCTCTCCACAATCACATTTACTCATCACTCCTATTTGTCACGCACACAAAATAAGAACCAATTTTATATTTTTTCCTACAAAACACCTTCCTCGTGGGATCGATATCTTAAATACTATAACTTGACATGGTTGTGCACTTGCAACCTTTTTGGTACATGTTTATGCCGCATCACCAACTGAATAAAAGATAGGTGCATTGTGTCACAGAGACTTGAACCAGCTCATGTCTAAAAATCCAGCAATCACACAAGATCAAACTTATCTGTAGTAGTTTTTACTTTGAACCACACTTGTCTTTGCCTTTGCCTTTGCATTACCTTTGCCTTTGCACGTTTATGGCCTTGTGCATGTCTTGGTTTCTGTTAGGGCTCTCGATATCTTTTCGCAAGACACCATAGGAGATGGCCAAATCTACACCCATGCATAGGTGAGTTCTTTAAGTATGTTTTATATCAAATATCTCGCATCCAAAATGCTTTAAACTCATTAAGGCTTAAGAGTCATCCTCTCTCATGATAGGATTCTAGGTGAAAAGATAAAAAATTTACCCGATTAGTTAAGCCAGGTAAGGATAGTACTAGAGGGAGATCAAAGATCAATTAATTACCTCGTTCCTTGTGAAGCGCGTTACGTAACTCTTAAACCTTGTCTTAGACACCGACTAATCCAAGAAAACTTGAACCCCCCTTAGGATTTCACTTGTAAATCTTACTTGACTTTTGAACCATTTATCTTGTCATTAGTAGCATAAGCTTTAAACTAATAACTAGATGTAAATGATAAGTATTTGTAAGACTCATCAAACTTTGTAAATCTTACTTGACTTTTGAACCAATTATCTTATCATTAGTAGCATAAGCTTTGAACTAAAGACTTGATATAAATGGTAAGTATTTGTAAGACTTACAATACTTTGAAACTCATTCCAGCAGACGTCCTTTCGACTATGTCTTTTTTCAGACCCTTAGACAAAGGATCAACCACATTCTCTGAAGATCGAACATCAATCACAGAGATGACTCCTTGACAGATGAGCTCTCTCAAATAGCCATGCTTCAGACGAATGGCCCGCTTCTTTCCATTGAACATCGAGTTCGCTGCCACAACACTCTACGGTTGACTATCATAATATATAGTAATTGTGCCTTACAATTCTGCCAATGGAAGGTCTCTGAGAAAACAACTGAGCCATTCAGCTTCATCTCCTGTAGCACAGAGTGCGAAGAACTCAGATTGCATTGATGACTGTGCAATCATAGTCTGCTTCTTAGAGTTCCACGAGACGACAGCTCCACCCATAGTGAAGACAAATCCTCTGTTGGCCTTCTTGTTTTGATAATGATTTAACAAATAATTTATATCTAATATTGTTTGTCTAGTGTTTGTGTTTTGTTATTTATTATAGACAAACAATAAGTTAGAGGATGGATGGATTGCGCCATAACGATCATATCAAATGGAGGTTGGCGGAATAGTGGTTGAAGCCTTGCTATTCAAAGTTGAAGATCCAAGTTCAAGCTTCATCCAAGTTTACCAAGTTGAGCTACAATGAAGATCAAGATCAAGTTTGGGTAACATTAGTTTAGGTTTATATTATGTGTGTTAGTACTACATATTTCATATTTATTATTCTGTTTTGGTTTAGCTATATAGATATAAAACAAATATATATTCATATGTTTCATATTCTATTATATTTGACAAAATATTGTATTCATTGTTTATAGACTTCATAACAATAGTTTACATCTTTCTTTAACTCTATAAAATCATTTTGTAGAGTTTCAAAAGTTTGTTTAAGTCAAATGTCAAAAACATGTATGTTTAGTTTTCATGTTTTGGACTATTTTGCAAAATAATAATATTTCTCATTTGGGAGGTCCTTTTTGAAAACCATTTTTTATAGCATGTTTATTATCATGTTTACAATCAATTTCCAAAGTTTTATATTTTTTAGAATTTATTTGATATTTTTAAACCCAGTTTAAAGTTGAGTTTTTCTGTGCACTTCAGGTCTGTGCATGTTTAGTCGACTCATTAGTCGACTCATAAGTCGACTCACGAAGTACAACGGAGTTGTGATTTTTCTTCTGCTGAGTCGACTCATATAAGCCAACTCATTAGTCGACTCATGAGTCGACTCATAAGACGACTTATGAAAGAGTCGTTGTACAGTAACAACTAGTTTCCAGCAGTATTTTTTAGGGGCTTTTTTGGTCTTTTTCTTGGGGTTTTTACTGAAGTTTTGGGTTCCTATAAATACCCCATTGCTCTCATTTTTTAGTTCAATCCAAGAGAATGTTTTAAGAAAGTTTAACAAGGGTTTAAAGTTTGTTTAAGTTTGTTTAAAGGTGTTTAAGCCTTGTTTAAGAGTTTCGTTTGTGAAGATAATTTCACAAGGGCTTGAGGAGATAATCTTTGGTGTTTGAGCTTCAAATCATCTCTCTCACTCTCTCTCACTCTTGTCATTTATTGGAGAAGTTTTCTAAACTCAATCTAGTTTTACATTTTATTGTTTTCATTTATTGGAGAAGTTTTCTAAACTCAATCTAGTTTTACATTTTATTGTTTGATTATCATTTTATTAAGCTAGTGTTTATATTGAGTTTAGTTAATTTTATTTATCTCTTTGTACACACACAACCATTGAGCTTATTGTATTTTCATACTTAGTATAATTTGGGTTGTGGGATTGTGTGACTTTGAGTTTGAGCTTACATTGTGTTCTCATCCATTGTAGAGAACAAATTTATTTGTATTTGTGCCTAATTGTGAGGATCGCTTTGTAATACACTTGTACACCAGGAAGAGTGTGTGGTGAGGACGGAGTCGATACCGAGAGGAGTGGCGTCGGTAGCCTAGTGAGAGGTGATAATTCCGAGCACTTGAGGGATTCGATACGTGAGGACCAACACTTGAGGTTGTAGCTTGTGTATGTACTTTGTGAGGATTTGTGAGAGTTGTCGGTTGACTTGATAACCGAGTGTGTAGATTTTTCGGTTAGCTAGAAAACCTTTGTTTCACCCTTGTGATAGTTTATATATCCTTGCATACATCATATAGTATATCTCATTGCTAGGATATATCTCCTTTGTTCATATTGCATATTCTTGCTCATAAGTAATTGTATATCATCTTGCAAGAACATATTTGTTAATAAGTTTTAAATTGGCATAAAATCGGATTAGATTAGCAAAAACCCTATTCAACCCCCCCCCCCCTCTAGGGTTCTTTCCTAGTGTCATTAGGGTCTAACAATTTGTATCAGAACTTGATGCTCTTTGATTTAAGGACTAATCACCTTGACTTAAAGATCCAAGCTATCTTATTTTTGTGCTGATCTAGTTTTGTGATTTTATTGTTATCTTGCTTGCTCATATATACATTATGGATATGCACGGTGCACCTTATTTAGGTTATGTCATTAATATTGCTCCTAAATTAGATAATTTCTCCTATGCCCAATGATGTGTTAGATTTAAACTTTTTATTCGAGCTAGACACTTCGATTTATGGAAAATTATAGATGATGCTTATATTGTGCCCACTTCGGAGAAATCCAAGTAGAACAAAAATGATCATTGTATGTTTACCATGAATAAGCTTTTGTAAGAATTTTTACATAATACGTTCGATTCATCTATGTCTAACAAGCTTTATTCTTTTGATAGTGCTTACACATTATAGAAACTTATAGAAGCACATCAAGGGAATTTGGATGCGATCCGACAAGCTATGGAGGATTCCGCTTCTAGTTCATGTGGAGCTTCATTTTCATGCACACGGCCACTAGGCGATAGCCCTAGTGTGGTAAGCGAGTCCGAATCCGAATATGATTTATCTTTTGATGAACTCGCCTGTGCTAATGAAAAATTATTGCATGTCTATAACAAATTGCATAAAATTTTTATTGATTTATAAAGCAAGCATGAAGGTTTAAAATCCGATCATGAGAAGTTAGCTTCCAAATTTGATATCATTTCTCAAGAGAATAATGCTCTTAAAGTAAACAATGATATGTTAAATTTGAAAAATAATAATTTAAAATTGGATATTTCTAACTTGACTCATGACAAAAATAATGCCATGTTAGAAGTTAAGAACATAAAAAATAATACTGTTTCTTTTATAAATGACTATTTATATTCTACTTCTAATAAAAATACATATGTGCCTAAAAATAAAGAATTGAATCTTGTGAATAAACGCATTTCATCTTTAGATTTAACTTTGAAAACATGCATTAATAATCATAAGAGGCTTATGGATATGTGTGCCAAGTCTAAGTCATCATCCACTCATTATGCACACATATATATAGCAAAGTTTACAAATGCTCTATTTGCGGCAGTCTAAGTCATCATCCACTCATTATGCACACATATATATAGCAAAGTTTACAAATGCTCTATTTGCGGCCGAAAAGGTTATTTATCTAAATTTTTCTATGATGCACACAAACATAAGAATGCTAATACTCCTTGTGCATCTCATGTAGCTTCATCATCTTGTACACTTACACATTCACATGCTCATTCTCACATTGTTCATCATAAGCATGCTCATGTGTATAAATGTGATCATTGTGATCGTTTTGGTCATTTGGCCGAATATTATTTTGATTTGAAAAATAAATCTCATTTGCCAAATGTTTCTAGTAGACCACATGTTTTTAAATGTGATGTTTGTGGTAGGCTTGGACATCTTGCAAAATTTTGTTATGATACGTAGACCACATGTTTTTAAATGTGATGTTTGTGGTAGGCTTGGACATCTTGCAAAATTTTGTTATGATACAAAAAGCTTCTAAGTTACAATATGTTCCAAATAGACCTTTGTTTAATAATGTTTCTCATTTGCAAAATAATTTTAAAAGCCAATTTTTATTTGCAAATGATTCCCGTGCACGTATGGTCCACAAAAACAAATGAGTCTCTTTCATTGCACAAATTACAATCGGAATGGTCATTTGAGCAATTATTGTTATGACCGAGTTAGTGCATCAAATGTGCCCAAAAGGGTTAATAACCCTAGGGCTTTGAGCTTTATTGATAGGGGTCATGTCCCTAACCAATCCGACACCAAGAATGCTTGGGTGCCAAAATCTTTTTAAAACCAAGAATTATATTATTTTTAATTTTTTATTTTTCTTGGTTTTGAAAATTATGTTTTAAATTTTTTTAATATGAAAACAAAGGTTTGTATTTATATAACCCCCCAGGTTTATTGGGTGTTTATTTCCCAAATCATGTTTACCGGGTG